ATTTCAACTATCACTACGTCTACTTTATACAAATCGTTTCGTACAAGCCTAAGAGATTTAACCTCCTGGACGGTTTTTTCTTTGTACCAGCAATCGTCAGTGATGTGTCCCAATTCTTTGCAAGTACTGCACTTCTTGACTGCCATCCTCGATGGTCCTGGTGTTGGGTGTCCGAGGATCGACGCTTGGGGACATTCAGCACTAGGATGGTATGTCGATCGGCACATGGAACACCGATGTTTGGTATTCCTCGATGTTGTGGGAACGGATCGTCTCCAGCATTCCCTTGCAAGATGGCCCAATTTTCCGCATACATAGCACTCAATCCGCGGTCTCTTTTCTGGTCTGGACGCGGTGGCTTGAGGTTAGAGTCTGGCTTTTTGAGGCGATTTATAATGGTCCATTGGTGCAATAAACCCGGCGTAAAGTTCGTCTGGCGTAGCATATTTAAATGCCCTTGCATTTGCTTGCAGCTCCAATGGCAAACCCTTTATAATGCAGGATATGGTGGCTTTGTTACCCAAACGACATTGTTGCCTAAGGTTTAATTTTGCGTGGTAATAGTGTGTCATGGTTTAGTTGTTGCGTTTTTGCCTGCCGACCAACTCTTCTAATATTGTTGCGTAATCGACACATCTCGGAAACGCTCTGGATATCCGGATAATGCAATTTTCCACCCATCCAAAGTTTTGTTGTAGTCGTCTTGTTTGTTGAACCAAATACGAGCTGCGCCTTTTAATTTTAGTTGCATATATCCGGATTTTTCGTAGTCGCTCCAACCGTGTATTTGAAACAGTTGTTCGTTTGTTGAGCCATGACGCAATAGTTTGGTGGCGGTCGTCGGGATCAAAAATTGGAATAATTTCTCCATTTACCTTGAGTTTCCCTTATTTGGTTCGGTTTGTCCATCCTCGAAGTTCAGGTCGTGTAATGAACAAACTTTGTGTTGTCCTGAATCGAAGTTGCGTTTAAGGGCTGCCGTGATAGGTTTCGCAATATGTCTTTCTTCGTCGTACTTGATTTTCTACTATTTTACTATCACTGTCCTCGTGGACACTCATTTGCGTAGTTGTATCCCACTTCTGAATTATTACGAGTTATAGGTGGCCATAAATAAAACACGTCTTATATCTCATCCGTTTAATTGACTACTGCGCTAATCTACAGACTCTAGCAACTAAATTTACAATATTACGTAACCACACAGCTTTAGTGTTTTTATTCCTGTTATACAGCATGATTCACATTTTAAACCACCAAACATTTACATCCAATATTTAATTATAATTTATTTAAATCAATCCAAAACCTAATAATTATTTCACAAAACTTAACATCATAACACTTAACACTGACATAGTGAAAGATAATAAAAAAATGGAAAATCTAACTCTGTCGAGAAAAGTTTGGAGCCCCGATTTTTTAAATTTGGGGATGGTGTTATAAAGAAATTCTTAAATAAATAATTATATAAGATGGGGGAATTATGCAAAATCTCTAGTATCTTTATTAATATTAAAAATGTAATTTTGCAATTAATATCAATGATAGTCTACTATGTTTACTATGTGTATACAATGCGCAACACATGAAAAAATTTGTTTGGTATGCAAAAACTACATTTTATAAATAATGTATTTGCGCAAAATTACACACCTATCAGGGTAATTTTTCGCACCATGTGGGGAAAATTTACGCTGTATAGAGAGATTTTTATCTAAATAAACCGTTTATTTCTATAATATTATTATAATAAAACATACAAATAAAACAAAATTAATTTTTTTAAGAAACAAACTAAATCAAAAATAAATAATAAATAAATAACTAAAATTTTTGTCCTTAGAAATTGGAGGATAGTCTACATAGTTGTCACATATAAACAGTACCAAAACTACCGTCTTGGCCAAATTTAAAATTACCCCCGTCGCAAAATTCCTCACCTCCCCCTACCTACAGTGCACTGGAACCCCATTTATGTTATTTATTTTAAACTTGAAACGAATGTTTTGTCATTATTTTACAGGTGCGGTGCATTTTTTTATTAAAAATGATAAATTATTTAAAACTGATTTCCGGAAGTGGTAATGTAAAAAAATAATATTTTTTTCTGACAGGTAAGCCGCTCAATTCAAGAATAAATAAAATTTAACAAATTTATTGCACTACACTACACTTTTAATGTTGAAGCTGAGTGGCATTTTTTGCAACTTCGCACGGGAAGGGTGCGTGTGATGGAGTAGGGGGAACCGTCGAACGATTAGCATCTCCTCCTGTGGGCGAAAAAAACTCTTCAAAACATCGTTTATGATTTTTTTTTAAAGCTGATCACGAAAAGAAGAAGCAGCATTCTTTTTAGCTTGGTTATTTAAAAAAAATCGCAGTTAAAGAAATTTCGAATTCCAACAACGTTGTCGTTTATAAACTACTGTACTACTTATAAATATTAATAAATTAACATTAAAGTGGTGGTATGTAAACAATTGATTCCTTTATTTATCATCCGCAAATTAAAAAAATCCAGGACAGTGCTCGTTTGAAACCTTTCTCGAAGGATATATGAGTCGTCTAGTTTCAAAAGTGGCCATCTCCAAAAAAATTTAAAAATGAGTTATTTAAATGTTATTACACCAATAAAATCGAAATATTACGTAGTATATTAGTACGAAGGCGTAGAAGGGACAATTACACAAAATTTATTTTTAATATTTAATTCCGAGTTAGGTAACACAGAATTTATTCCCCCCATTTAATTCTGCGTTAGCTAACACAGAATTAATTCCTTCCTATTTAATTCCGTGTTAGGTAACACAGAATTAATTCCCTCCTATTTAATTCCGTGTTAAGTAACACAAAATTAATTGAATTAATTCTGTGTTAGTTATCGCGGAATTAAATAGGAAGGAATTAATTCTGTGTTAGCTAACACGGAATTAAAGGGGAGGGAATTAATTCTGTGTTACCTAACGCAGAATTAAATGGAAGGAATTAATTCTGTGTTAGCTAACACGGAATTAAATATGAAGGAATTAATTCTGTGTTAGCTAACAGGGAATTAAATAGGAAGGAATTAATTCTGTGTTACCTAACGCAGAATTAAATTGGGGGAATTAATTCTGTGTTACCTAACTCGGAATTAAATATTAAAAATAAATAGCTGAAGCTGATAGTTTCAGCTTTGTTTCGTAGAAAATTAGAATATTCATATATTTACAGATTGTGACGCTTTGTTTTTAGGATAGTTTACGTTGTTGCCACATATGTGGAATTTAAGTTATACGAATGACATATGTCATTCGTATAACTTAAATTCCGATACGAAGCTCGATACGAAGGCTTGTTCTCTCTAAAAATGAAATAGTCAAAATTCTACTATTTGAATTAGTACCAGCATTTTTTACTAATAAAATAGTCGTTTTCACTTTTAAATACCTAGTTATTTTTTACAATGTCAATAGTTAAAGTTTGACTAATTTAAGATTAGTCACCATATTTGACTATTTCTGACAGTTAAAAGTAACTAATTTCTTTAATCGTTTACGGCCAACAACAAAGTATTATTTGAATTAAATGCATATACCTCTCCATGGTTAAATGACCCATACAACAAATAAAAATGCAAAAAGTTTAGCTCAAAACAGCAACACAAATAATATATTAAACTTTAAAATATTATGAACAATATTTATTGACAAATAAAATTGATTTTTATAAGAGCGGCTGACAGCTGTTATGAGGTTAGCTTGACAAACTTGTCAAGTGACAGACCTAAGTTCAATCCCAGGCTGGGACAAAACTTTTTTAAAATTTAAATTTACTAATTTGACTATTTATTTCATTCAGTGGAATTTGACTAATTATTAGTGACTGCTTTTTCGCTATGACAATTAGTCAAATATGACTTATAATTATGACTTATAATTATAATTAGTTATTTTTGACTAATTCATTTTAAGAGAGTTGAGAATATGGTTTTACAAAATCGTTCGCACGCCGAGTGGTAAACCACTTTAAAATCTTAGAGACCATCGTTCAATGTTAGTGGACGTTGTGTTGTGATTTTTGTCCTTATCAGTCGTTATCAATAAGGAAAACTTAAGCTTAATCAGTGCTTAGCGACGCGTTGCGCATGACCTTGTTATTGTTATCCTTAGCCGTTAATTCGTAAGCGATTTTTAATTTTAAAAAATCAGTGGTTTACCCCTCGTCGCACGCATACCCTTCGCACCGATGCGAATGAAGTTGACTATTTCCCTCGTCTTAATTTCCACCAATTTAAAACGCGCAATTTTGAATTACAAATGGTTTCTAGGTGGAAAACTGTTTGACAGCACCTGTCATCAGTTTTTTCGAGTTTACCCGCTTCAAAACTTGACAGCTGTTGTCACCAAAAATTGCAATTTATATTTTAATTGTACCATAAATAATTAAGTTTGTAGTATTTTGTGATTAAATAAATTACCTATTTTTCAGTTTTCAAATTAATACCTACATATTTATTATGTATTCATGTATAATAGGTAGTATGTTTTGTAAGCTATGTGTATGCAGAATAACTTTTACTCATGAAATAGTCTTTTCAAATACCATTCGGCATCTAATTTTTCCTGTGAAAAAAATCGAAAAAACACAATGCTAATTACTGAAGTAATGTTCTAGTTAAAATATTACTTAGCAAAGTGTTTTTTCGATTTTTTTCGGAAAAATTAGATGCCCTTATGATATTATTTACAAAAATCGCGCCCCTGGCATGCTCTGCAAGCGCCCTACCATCGGAGCTCCTGGGGCTCCTGGGGCCCAGACGAATATCAGTTTTATAACGCTCGGGAAATAATACCGATTTAAAGTGTGTGACGTCAAATTATGACGTTAGTCAGGATCGTACTTAAGTCCCGCCTCGGGACTGTAAACGTAGCGTTAAGTAAAACAGTAATTTGAACTCGAAGGTCCAAAATTATGTCGGAAATATTTTGTTTAATGCGAAAGTTTTTTATTTTAATAGTTGGTGAAAAGTCAGTTCAAACTGCCCTTGATAGAAGTAAGACCGGAATGTGCGGCAGTGATAAGAAATCTGCCAGTGGACGAACCTCCATTAGCCCCACCCAGTGATAGCCCCTACTTTATGGACAATGCTTCACCCGATAAATACTTAAAATCAGGTAGGTACTATTATTTTTTACAAAAAAAATTGAATTTAACCCTAAAAATATCCTTAATGTTTTACAAAATCGCAATCGCAAAATAGGTAGGTAGGTAAATAAAGAATCTTTTCTTAGTCGATGGTTCCCCACTGGGAATATATAGACAAGTTCTGCGCAAGCAGAATTTATATTAAAGTTTGCGAAAAAAAGTTAGTTTTTAAGTGCAACCCCCAGCCTCCTGCCCCTCCAAATTAAGATAATTCAAATTAAAGTGGTACAATATTTAATTCACTGAAGTTTATCGACAAATTTCAAATTTTATTAAAAAAATTCAAGAATTACAGGTTTTATACCATTTATAATTTTTATTATTTCTTTTACTAAATTTAAAAAAATTTGAAATGGTATAAAATCTGTAATACTTGAATTTTTTTAATAAAATTTGAAATTTGTCGATAAACTTCAGTGAATTAAATATTGTACCACTTTAATTTGAATTATCTCAATTTGGAGGGGCAGGAGGCTGGGGGTTGCACTTAAAAACTAACTTTTTTTCGCAAACTTTAATTTAAATTCTGCTTGCGCAGAACTTGTCTATATAATGTCATTATAAACTCATATAAATTTGATGTGGGTTCCATGTCTAATAACTGACCAAGGAATTAGTAGTTACCTTCAGAATCCAGAAATATGTCGTCAAAGGGGAAATACAAATTCCATTTGCTATCACTTCTAGAGAATATCAAGAAATGCATAAAAGATAACGTTTGCTAAAAGACAAGCAAAAGGATAAAAGAAAAAAAACGCGAAGAAAAAAAGCAGTATACAAAAAATGCAAACAAAAAGAAAACAAACCTATAGGTATACCTGTGCTTAGTTAAGCAATTCAAAGTAAAGGTTTACATTGTATTAAATTTCAAAAAAAATTCATAAGCATTCCTAAGAAAGACCAAGAACATATACCGGAAGAATTGAAAGATGATATATTTTTATGTCATCATGTTACAAAGAGAGTAATGATAATGATGCAGAACTGAATGAGGAATCCGAGAAAGAAATAGATAAATTATATGATACTTACAAAAATTATGCAAAACGAGTTGAGGAATCCGAGAAAGAAATATATGAATTACATATTTACAAAAACGAAATAAAAAAAACCTAAAACAGAAATTTACCTTTATAAAATATTTGACATTTTATGTAATTTTAAGTAAAGTTGTTATGCGTATATAAAAATTGCATGTCCAATATTGTTATATAACTAGGTTCCATGTGTCCAATTACTATAAAATGTCCAATTACCATACTTTTTTGCATGTTATTATAAAACTATCATTAAAAATTCAAATATTTTTATTTTTAAGTAAACGTAAATAAAGTTTAAACAAACAAACTACCTTTTTACAAATTTATAATAAAAAAACTAAAATCTTTATAACAACGGCATATACAGGGTGTCCGGGAAAAGGAGGTCAATCCGTTAACCATATATTCCTTGAGTTAAAACAATAAGACTTTCATAATACCATTTTTCAATTTAGAGCTTCATGTTCGATATACAGGGCAACAAAGTTTGAAATTAAAAACTGATTTTTTTAATAATTCGAGTAATTGATAAGATACTAAGTTTAAATTCGGTACACCACTTCAACATAAATAGTTACATTTTTTGAGACCAACAAAACAAAAAACAATTGTCAAATAATCAAAATAGGGGGGTCCACTCACTGACTCCCCCTATTTTTTAGTACGTGCGCCAATGACTTCCAAACGGAATTTTTTCAGGTAATCATTTATTGTTGAAAATGTTTTGTCTCTTATAAAATTTTGATAAAATGATTTGTTTTAGAGATAATTTGTAAAGTATGGTTCAGTCCATATTAAATTTTCAAAATTTTTTTTTTTTTTTTGAAAAAATGTAGGTCATGTGATATATCATAAAAAAGTTCTCTAATAGGCCTTTAAAATAAGCCATCACTCACCTTTCTACTTTTAATAGTTTACGAGATATCGCTATTTTTGTAAGTACTTGCAAGACCCAAATTTATCGGAATTTTTTGATTTTCAAAAATCAATAAAACAAAAACCACCTATCGAAAAAAATTCATATATGGGATTTTTGAGTTTTTTAGTGAGGTAAACAAATTTACCAAAAATGATCAAAATCGGAGATGGTGGGGGAAGAACCTTTGGTTGATTTGATATGGACTGACCCATACTTTACAATTTATCTCTAAAACAAATCATTTTATCAAAATTTTATAAGAGAAAAAACATTTTCAACAATAAATGATTACCTGAAAAAATTCCGTTTGGAAGTCATTGGCGCACGTACTAAAAAATAGGGGGAGTCAGTGAGTACTGGACCCCCCTATTTTGATTATTTGACAATTGTTTTTTGTTTTGTTTGTCTCAAAAAATGTAACTATTTATGTTAAAGTAGTGTACCGAATTTAAACTAAGTATCTTATCAATTACTCGAATTATTAAAAAAAATCAGTTTTAAATTTCAAACTTTGTCGCCCTGTATATCGAACATGAAGCTCTAAATTGAAAAATGGTATTATGAAAGTCTTATTGTTTTAACTCAAGGAATATATGGTTAACGGATTGACCTCCTTTTCCCGGACACCCTGTATAATTATATTAAATTTTAAATAAATAATATTCCTTAAGTGTCCAATAACTGGTTTACCCTATATTGAATTATTATTTAAGTTCAACAAATTACAAACAGTTTTCAATTGCAAAATTATAACAAATTTTGTTTCTGCGTTCTCCGCATCTATGTTTTTAGGCGTTAATTTTTTATTTTATAAATAAGACACTATTCTTTTATTCAACATAAAAACTTAAAGCAAAGTTGTAAAGAGTAAAATTATCTACAATTTTTATAATCTGTGCATAAATTATATCATATACTTACATATGAACTTAAAAATCAATTTAATTAAAACAGCGCCCTGAACCGTCCCGTTTTGCAATTCTATCGCTGTTGAAATTAAGTTTTTTAAGTTCGAGGTGTCAGCTATTGTTACAGAAAAATACGAATATAAATCTTTTTAATATACATAAAAATATATGATTGATGTACCTACGTAAGATGTGTCATTACTTATCTCAGCAACTACTAGAGCCAAATTTTCATGAATCAAACGATTTTTTTTAAATATATCATTTTTATATAAACAGTGTGTTTGGGGAAACCCTGGGACGATACCAATTTTTGTGTGGCTTCAATTGTTTCTGAAATAAGTTATCTTACGTGAACCTCCCTGTACATTGATCACCTGAGATTTACGTAGTTCACTGTTGATAAAATTTCGTTTTACATGGGTACTCACATACCATTCAAATATTTTTATATTTCCAAATAATATATACAGGTATTCAGTGTTGTAACAGTTACAATATTTTCAGTATCTAGCTACAGTTACAGTTACTTACCAAAATTTGTAACTAGATACAGATACAGATACATATTTTATTGCACTAACTAGTTACAGATACAGTTACCTTCAAAAAGTATCTAGATACTTTAAGATACATACAAATTATTTTTTGCTTTAAAAAATTTAAAATAGAAATAAAAGGGAATTTTAAAGTGACAACAAAAATATATATGTTTATTATTTTTATTTTTTTTATAATATTAAATTTAAAATAACTTATTTTTTATAATATTTTTTTTCCAAATAAATAATAGTCGCAGTTTAATTAAAAATGTATATTTGTATCTTAGCACACCTAGTTACTTAGAATTTGTAACTAGTTACAGTTACTAGATTGGGATAAGTAACTAGTTACACAAACAGATACATAAAAAGTATCTAGATACTGTATCTAGTTACTTGTAACTAGTTACGTTACAACACTGCAGGTATTATCCTGGAACAAGCAACTGCTCGCCAAGCGCGCTAAAATTGTCCAAGGCGCGTTTCCAGGAACTAAAGATTGTTTAAATAAAATTTAATGCAAATTAGGTCAGCACACAACACGTGTACAGAACAGAACAGTCGAAAAACTGCATGCCAACCACCTACCTTGGACGTTTAATGCACTGTTTTTGTTTAAACCATATTATTTTCAACAAAATTTAAATTACATAAATGGTTATTTTCTACAACTTTGCTCTTGAGTTTTTACGCGAAAAAAAAATTGCGTGTTATTTGAAAAAAAACGCACGCATAAAAACAAAGATTGCGGGAAACGCAGAAACAAAATTTGTTATAATTTTGCACTTTCGGCTTTATCATGAAGCTGGCTTATGCCAGTTTAGTATTTTTAGTATTTAAAAATGGTACTTCTGCTAAAGAATTTAACTAAATACTTTAACGAATTTGGTTTTATAATAAAAACATCACACATTATTTTCACATTATTCACCATTGGACAACATTTACGTTCACAAAAAATTTTAATTTCTTTTATAAAAATTCTTTTCAAAGCGAAGATTATTATCCGCTACCCAGACAGCACAAAATATCCATTAGATATCCATTGGATATACTTTTTGGATATCCAAGATATCCACTGGATATTCATGGATAACCATTAGATATCCTATAGATATCCAAATGTCCGCCTATATCCAGGATATAGCAAATATCCAATGGATATCCACATATATATCTAGCTGATATCCAGTGGATATCCATTGGATATATTCCAATTTTAAATTTTTGTTGGATGTAGTGAGAAAATATCTGAGCCTTGTTGAGTTTGTTATGTATGCTGCAGTACCAACATGTTGATACTATATTTTTTCAAAATATTATATAATATTTTATACCCTGTGAAAAATGGCGATTTTAAAAGTTTTTTTTAATGGAACATCTATTTATATTTTTTGAATGTTATACTTATGTTGTACTTAATTTTGGTTAATTAAAAAAAACATTACATTACTTACTAAAAATATAATATATGATGTCCAAATAAAAAAAAAAAAAATTTTCAAATACCTATTTTTCAGGGGGTATAACCCTGTATATTTTGAAAAAATATAGCAAGCAATAAGAGCAAATATACAAAATAAAAAAACTTAAAAATGGTCAATTATTTTTCTCATTAAATACATCCAAACTTCGAAATTGGAAGAAATTGCTACTGTCTTTAATAATTTGGCAATCCACTGTACACATGTGTAGTACACATTGTGTACATATGTAAATATTTTATATAGATATATATTTGACATGAATTAATTGTATTTTGATTGAAAGGTATAGAAAAACATCAATGAATATGTTTATAATATTTTATTTATAATTATAAACAAAATTATTATTTATTGCCTTATTAATTAAATTATAATTTATTCTGGTAGAGGCATTATATCATTGTTTTTCTTTCTGTAAAAGAAAAAAAAATACCTAATTTACAATAATAATTATTGTAATAGTTTACTTTATAAAGTAAACATACTTGTACAAGCAGACATCTAATACACATGCATGTCTAATAAATTAGTAGTTTTACCTAGGTAGGTATTAGCTAAAGCAATAAAAAACATCCCGCCATAGTTAACCCTCGAGCAGTCGCGTTGGTGCAAATATGCTACCAATAATACTTAATGAGGGCGTGGCGCATGAACAAGTGTTTTATTTGTAATATACCGCTCAGTATCTTCCAAGATATTGATGAGGAAGGGTTAGTTACGTTTGTTCAGTTAAAATTTTGTTAGTGTGTTTGTCTACAACGGTTCAAATTTAATTGGAGCAATTTTGCTACCACGCGCCCAATCATGTAAGTATATTTTTATTTGTTTCTTTTTTAATTGTGATATTTTTTTTGTTGTTACTAGTTTAAAATTTCCAAAAAATGTTATTTACCAGTTTTTGTATAATAATATTTTTATTATTGTTATTATTATTAGCATTCTCAATACAAGTATCATATAATAATACAAGAATAATATTGATTATATAAAATAATAATAACTGTATTTATTATTATTATTAGTAGCTTTCCAAAAATTTGTATTTTATTCTATTTACTTTATTTTAGGGCAAAGGGACTTTCGGACGAAGAGCTTCGAAAATTTTTAGAAGATTTGTCTGACATATATGTCAGACAAATCTTCTATAGAGGAAGATAATGACATGGATGATAATGAATGGAGTGAAGAAGATGAAGAGATTGTTACCAAAGAAGAGCATAATTCAGATTCGGAGATGGAAATAGAAGAAGATATGGTTACTAGTGACTCAGCCTCTGATATACATATATATATGTAAAATAATAAATAAATGTTTAATAAACATATAAAACTAATCATTTAGACTTTATTTATATTGTTTACTTATAAATTAATCCTAAAACAATATTAAAGCTGTTCTAAAACTATAATTTACAGATGGTAGCATATTTGCACCACGCGACTACTCATGAAATATTTTAGGACGCGACTGCTCGAGGGTTAACAGAAGCCGGTAAATAAACAAGGCCTCAAATAAAAACCAAAATCCCAATGTAATGTGTGTGTGCAATATGAAAGACATAATATATACACCACAATTGTATTAATACCACACAACCAAACAAGAAATAAAGGCACTTACCTACCGTAAAAACAATAAATATGATGCGAAAATTGACACTTAAAAACACAATCTTAAAACGGCATATAACGACATATAAAAATAAACGTTTCACGGTGTTTGTTGTTTGCGCAGAGAAATGGGAGCACAATGCGCAAGCGCGTCGGCCTGGCCAATGATTCTCGAGAGTCTCATGTGACGTAGTCTAAAATAGTGGATATCCATTAGATATACATTAGATATCCATGAAAACTTACATTATATTATACTTCTAATTTCATAGGTTGTATCTCATAAACATAATGCTTAAAAACGTCTAGAATAATTTTAACTGAAACAATCCTTTTTTATCTTTGGCTCTAGATATGTAGTTATAATATCTATGTGGACATCCACTGGATATCCATTAGATATCCATTAAAGTTTTATTTATTTCAAAGTATATTATTAGAAATATCAAGGCATGTGTCAATAATGTATTAATATATTTGTCTCTAATATTTATTAGTCAATTTTGACGCAAATTGTCCTTATGCTAATATCCCTTAAGTATATCCAATGGATGTCCACTGGATATCCGTTCATGGACTGGACATTCAGTGGATATAGGTATATCCAATGGATATCCAATGGATATTGTGTGCTGTCCTATAGGAATACTTTCTCTTCTGGGCCGTACAGCAACCTATATTTAACTACTTTTTTATATGATTTTACTCATCCAAGCACCACCAAAGCCAAATTAATTGCATTTTTAACTACGAATTTCGACAACTCAACTTGACAACTGCACAATGTAACCTACAATAATTTATACATAACCACAATTAGATTTATAACTAGCTTAGTTTGTTTTAATCAATGCGACCAACTTGACAACTGTATTTACCAACCAAAACCCTAAATTTGCAACGTTGCCGCAAGTCCAGATAAAAAAAATGAACTTTACCAATTCGGTATTTATTACATTGACTGGGATAATGTACAGTCAAAATTAATTAATTAATTTTAAAACAAACTGTCAATGTCAATAGTGACATTGTTAAAAATTGAATTTAAATTACATTGCTCAAACCAAGTTCATCATAAATTTTCATAATTTTCAACTAAAAATAAAAAATTAATAATAAAAAATGTATGACAAACGATATGGATCTTTTATACAACAAGCAACATATGGTAAATTAAGTAATATAGATAATAAAAAATGAAATTATTATTTTTAGGTTTTACTGGGCACGTTCCTTTTGGATATGCATCTTTTGGAAAAAGCAATGAAGCGATGACAAATAGCGTGCTGTGCGATTTCACAGCGAATTACAGAAAGAGTTTAAGCACTGAATGGTCGCCCGTTACAACTTCCAGGCCAGATCCGCCCCTGTTAATTTCGCCTACGGAGATCTATCATAGGCAACTGGGACAACTTCCTAATTATGGCGGTCACATTCCAGGCGCAATATTCAGGTGAACATTTTAATTTTGTCCCAGGGTGTATTGTTAGGACAATAAGACGTCTATATTTAGCAGCGCTTAACACGTTGTTTTATCAAGGCCGGGGCGTAGCTACCGCGGTATCAGCCGTATCAATGATAGGGGCCCCCGGCTAGGGGGCCCCTTATTGGCTTCGAAAACTATCCTGAATACTCTCCTGTTCCAACGAGGCCGTGAACTCATACTAATTGTTTCTGCCTGCACCTTTCCGCTATGCGTTGTCTGCGCATATTGTTCTGTGCTCTGCGCCGCATACTAAGTCTGCTTTGCGTGGTATTATCATAGGTTATATTAATAGCAAATAAGAAATAATTATTAGCGTTACAATTATTTCAAATGACTTGCCTTTATTTTAAAATAGAAACCTTTTAAAAGATGTTGAAGAACGGAAATGTCTAAAACTAGACCAAATTTTAAAATTTGCCTGTACATAAAAAGCTATATATATATATATACAGGGTGAGTCATAAGTGGTGAACTTCCCGAAAGGTGCATGTTGGGGGGCCTTAATATAGGTAGGGAAAAATGTTAAAAAAATTCCAAATGAAAAAGTGACCGAGGAATTCAGGTCTTAAGTTTTAAATTTAACTTTTTTATTATTTAATATTTTTCCACCTTATATGATTTTTACTGAAGAGTTTAGGGTTCTTAAATATTTCCTAGGAAAAAAATTGCCCGAAAAAGTGTATTTTCTTTTAATTTTAATGTTTTAGAATGATTTTTTAACAATTGAAATGATCTGGCAACTTTGTAATCAACAATACGAAAATTGACATTGACGTTTATATTTTTTGGTGTTTTCTGGTTATTATTCTGTCGAGTCTATTTGTAATCAACAATGCTAAAATTAAGTTTGACGTTTATATTTTATTTTTTTGGTTATTATTTTGTCTAGTCTATTTAATAAAATGTACACCAATCAAGAATATGTGAATATGATGCTGGTACTTGGATTCTGTGAAGAAAATTGCAATGAAGCAGCCCGGGTATACGCAGCAAGATTCGCTTACATAACCCACCCATCGCCGGGAGTTTTTAGAAGGATGATGGGCAGAGCTAGAGAGACTGGATCTCTAATTCCAACGGCAGGTCCTGACCTTGGTCGGCCTCTAGAGATTGTACCCGAAGCCGATGAGTTAATCATCCAGCTGATTCAAGAAGATCCAACAAGAAGTACCAGAGAGATTGCTCAGGAGCTAGGCATGTCCCAGACATCTAAAACCAGGCGATTAAAGGAGAAGTTCCATCCATACCACTACACTAAAGTTCAGGCTCTTAACAACAACGATTTCTGTTTGCGTTTAAATTTTTGTATTTTGGTTATTGGGAAAAATTAATGAGGATGATGATTTTTTAACTCGTATTTTATGGCAAATTTTAGTAGGGATGGGTGTTTTAATAGTAGAAACTGCCATTATTATAACCAAGAAAATCCACATAGAAAATGGGAATTTAATCATCAAACTAGTACAAGAAGAAGACTGGAATTGTGTTTGGAAAATCAGGGGCATCAATTCGAGCAATTTTTGTAATGTTTGTTCATGCTTCTTTATGTTATTTTTTTCATAAATTTTTATTTTGTTTGATTTTGGTTTTAATTATTATTATTTAAGTATTATAATCACAACAACTGTCTCATTGCTGTCTTTTATTATGACAGTAATGACAACAATATAAGCACGTAACAATTCAAATAAGTTCCTTAGTTACTTCAATTAAAATGAAATCTAATAATTGCAATTGCATGCCTGTAACATTGTTAGTGTTTACACGTTGCCAAAATTCTCTTTTGAGTTCTTGGCCATAACTCGAGTACCAAAGCAGATAGATTTTTTTAAACATTTTTCCCTACATATATTAAGGCCCTCCTACATGCACCTTTCGGGAAGTTCACCACTTATGACTCACCCTGTATATATATATATATATATATATAATATATATACAGGGTGGGCCAATGGAAAGTTTCCACCCCGGTTATCTCAGGTGTTACGAAAAATAATAAAAAACGCTCGCACCCGTCGATTTCTGATTTGAGGGGGACAATTTATTTTTATATTTTCAACCCCTTAACTTCAACCCCTAAGCGTGGGTGATAGTTACCCCCAAAATTTAAATAGGAAAGGGGGGTCGAGTGATACTTCATTTTGAAGGTATTTTTGCCCTGATTATACCCTCCAAGTTTGAACTCGCTGCTAGCATCCCCGTTGATATGACAGCTTGTTAAAATCTTGGAAATAGATCACGTTTTATTATAAGTAAAAACAATACTTACCTTCCTTAATAAAAATATCTACTAATTAAAGTTTTAAAGTTTTATTATTATTAATAAAAAGTTATTTACATGATATTTATTTAATAAACTGTTCAAAATGTCCTCCATTAACATTCATGCAATAATAAAATCGATTCTCTACCTCTTCTCTATAACATTCTGCAACATATCGGTAGTTATCCTTTGACACTCTTCAGTTATTCGTTCTTGTAGAACTTGAAGAGAAGCTGGCTGTGTTTTATAAATTTTAGACTTTAAATGGCCCCATAGAAAGAAGTCCAGAGGTGAAAGATCAGGGGACCTTGCAGGCCACTCAATAGGTCCTCTTCGGCCAATCCAATGGTCTCTAAAATTTTCATTTAAAAATTGCTGAACGGGTGCTGCATAATGCGGTGGGGCTCCATCTTGTTGAAAAAACATTTCATTTTGCGACAAGTTATTATCTTCAGCAATAACTTCCCTTATTCTAGGAACAATATTTTCTTCAAGTAAAGTCAGATACATAGCCCCAGTCAAATTGCCTTGTAAAAAGAATGGTCCAATTATGTTATTGCCTAGAATACCTGCCCAGACATTTAACTTTTCAGGATTTTGAGTATGAGACTCTCTAAATAAATGTGGATTTGAATCGCTCCAGTATCGACAATTATGTCGATTGACTAATCCATGTAAAAAAAAGGAGCATTCATCTGAAAAGCAGACATTATAAAGAAAATTTAGATTGCCAACACACCGTTCACTCATTTCTTCTACAAATTGTAATCGTCGATCATAATCATCCTCATTAAGTTCGTGAAGCAATTGTATCTTGTAGGGGTAAAATTTGTGAACCTTCAAAATTCTCCTTACGCTTGTTCGTGATATGCCGGAAACTTCGGACAATTGCCTAGTACTTAAGGTGTTATCCATTGCAATGTGCCCTATGACTGCGATTTGCATACCTTCATTCCTAACGACACGAATCGGATTATCTTTTTTGTTCTCCACTGTTCCAGTTTCCAAAAACTTTACCATCAGTTTCCTAATATAAGTATGAGAGACATTTTTGTCCTGATGTCTTTCATTAAATAGTCGTGCTGTTTGTCTTGCACAGTCATTGTTTTTGAAATAAGTATAAACTAATTCAACTCGCTCGGCTATAGTGTATACCATAATTAAATTTAGTTATAAGCTCTTGAACTAACGATAATAATCTTAATGATAATTGTGCGACAATATTTTGTAAATAAAGTTTACAAAAAACACACTTTTTTCTTCAAACGTAAAAAAACTGATGTTTTGCTAATATTTACTTTATTCCTTCGGCATACCTACAGACTGTCTCAAAGGTATCGCTTTTACTCTTACTAAAATAATAGCCAATTTTCAAGATTTTAACAAGCTGTCATATCAATAGGGATGATAGCAGCAAGTTTAAACTTGGAGGGTATAATCAGGGCAAAAATACCTTCAAAAAAAAGTATCACTCGACCCCCCTTTTCCTATTCAAATTTTGGGGGTAACTTTCACCCCCGCTCAGAGGTTGAAGTTAAGGGGTTAAAAATATAAAAACAAATTGTCCCCCTCAAATCAGAAATCGACGGGTGCGAGCGTTTTTTATTTTTTTTCGTAACACCTGAGAAAACCGGGTGGAAACTTTCCATTGGCCCACCCTGTATATAATATATATTATATATATATATATAATATATATTATATACAGGGTGGGCCAATGGAAAGTTATATATATACGCTATTAAACAAACAAAACACAAGTCTTAATTAATTTATGAAATTAATATAAATAATAATATAAAACTGTTATTAAACAACAAAAACACACAAGTCTTAATTTCCCTTAGGGTAGTTACACAAAAATTTAACAATTCCGTACTTAAGATTTTCTTAAAATGGGGGTGTAAATAAATAGATAAATAAAAAAAGTATAAGTTTTAAATTGCGATGATTGTATGGACTTTTATTTTAGATTTGGTAAAACATATGGCAACGATTCCAGAGATGCAAAACGTTGGTTACGAGGAGATTTCAGCACATAAATTCATGTTTAACAATAAATAAATAAATAAATGTGCGTAGTTTTGTTTATTTATTAACCTGAATAAAAATATATAATTTCTAATAAAAATTCTTACATTGCTTTGTATATAATGTAAAATAATAAACACTTTATAATTTACTTTCCTACCCATTTGTGAAGAATATCAGAGGCCTTTTGTAAATTTTCATCTTGCTACAATTTAAAAGTATGTATCGTTTACTTGTTATAATTATATTGTTGACTATTTACCTTAATAAAGCAGTATCTCACATAGTTTTCAGCTAGGTTTTTATGTACAGTAGAGTAGAATGCAGAAGGTGGTATACCTTGTAATCCTACATTTTTGGTCATCCATTTTGTAAATCTATAATCTTTGTACTTATCTGTTTCACTGCTCATATCCACTTTGCTTTCTACAAAAAATATGAAACAGTTACTTTAAAACAGGGACAGACATTTATATTACATTATTTGGATAAACAGCAAGTATTGATGCAAATTAGATAGAAAGTGTATTAACTCAAGTAAATAATTTAATAAAATATACTGACATAATATTCCTTGGGGAAGAACAGTTTATATACAAAAGTGTTTATATACAAAAGTGCTCTTTTAGTTCCACCCTTACTTCTTAAGAAGTCCCATAAGCCAACTGAATGGCTTGTGCGGGTTAGAGGTAGGAACGGACCGCGGCCTTAAATTACCCTCCGAAGGACTATGCAGTTTTTTGTAACAATACTTTTAAATCATGTTGCTCTTTATGAAATGTTTCAAAATATATATGTAGGTACCACTAATATTTGCTCTTTTTTATAGATCAGGTTTATAAACTGCAGTTTTAAACCAAATTTTCCTCTTGATGTTTTTTTTTATTTTCCCTGCTGAAAAAGACGGGTAATATCGGATGATTGCGGATAAAAAACCAAGCTAGTTTTATGTCCATTTATATCTGTTTTTATCCGACATATCTGATTTTACCGGGCATGTCGGTTTTTATCTGCAATTGCGGGTATAAATATTATCCGCGAACGTCGGGTTTTATCTATTTAGATCTATGTCTGCTTTTATCTGTTTTCATCCGCAAAAACCTGTATTTGAGTTTATATCTGCATTCACCCGGTGTTATCCACAAACATCTGCATTTATCCGCAAACATCTGATTTTATCCGCAAACATCTGATTTTGTACGCAAACATCTGATTTTATCCGCAAACATCTGCTTTTATCCGCAAACATCTGATTTTATCCACAAACAACTGATTTTATTCGCAAACATCTGATTTTATCCGCAAACATCTTATTTTATACGCAAACATCTGATTTTATCCGCAAACATCTGCTTTTATCCGCAAACATCTGATTTTATCTGCAAACATCTGATGTTATCCACAAACATCTGCATTTATCCGTAAACATCTGATTTTATCCGCAAACATCTGATTTTATCCGCAAACATCTGATTTTATACGCAAACATCTGATTTTATACGCAAACATCTGATTTAATCCGCAAACATCTGCTTTTATCCGCAAACATCTGATTGTATCCACAAACAACTGATTTTATTCGCAAACATCTGCTTTTATCCGCAAACATCTGTTTTAATCTCCAAACATCTGCTTTTATCCGCAAACATCTGATTTTATACGCAAACATCTGCTTTTATCCGCAAACATCTGCTTTTATCCGTAAACATCTGCTTTTATTCGCGAACATCTGATTTTATCCGCAAACATCTGATTTTATACGCAAACATCTGATTTTATACGCAAACATCTGCTTTTATCCGCAAACATCTGCTTTTATCCGCGAACATCTGATTTTATTCGCAAACATCTGCATTTATCCGCAAATATCTGCTTTTATCCGCGAACATCTGCAAACATCTGCTTTTAACTGCAAACCTCTGCTTTTATCCGCGTTCGGTTTGCCTGCATTTCCTTTGTCCATTTCGGTCCTGTTTCGTACGCAAACGTCTGGTTTCATTCGCGCTTTTTGTTTTCCTCTCCTGTGTAGTTACTTTAGTTTACCTGCTTTGTCAAATTTTACTGAGCTTTAACTAAATGGTTGTTAGCCGTTCACGGCACACAACTTTATAACTCTAAGGAATTATTTGAATAAAAACAACCTGTAAAGGAAATAAGTTTATTGAACTTCAATATTATTTGGTAAAATACAAATAAGGTCTTTGTTAAAAGACATAAATAGACATTTTTTAATCATTAAGCTTACATTTAAATTAATTGTTAGAAAACATATATGTTTAATTTCAAATACATTTGGAATTATAACATCTTCAATTTGTATGGAATTTGTTTGAAAAACACTTATTTCGGCGTAGAATTTTTCATCTAACTTTATAATTTTTTTAATTTTATTTTTTTTATGTAAGAATTAATAGACTTATTATTTCTGTGGTACTCTTCACTATAGTATACCTGATTTTTAAATTTAAATCTGGTGAATATAATTAAATTATTTTCCCATTGGGAAAATGTCGTGTTAAATAAACTTATTTCCTTTACAGGTTGTTTTTATTCAAATAATTCCTTTTAGAGTAATAAAGTTGTGTGCCGTGAACAACCAGTTAGTTAAAGCTCAGTAAAATTTGACAAAGCAGGTAAACTAAACTAAAGTATACACGAGAAAAAGGAAAACAAAAAGCGCGAATGAAACCAGACGTTTGCGTACGAAACAGGACCGAAATGGACAAAGGAAATGCAGGCAAACCGAACGCGGATGAAAGCAGAGATTTGCAATTAAAAGCAGATGTTTGGAGATGTTCGCGGATAAAAGCAGATATTTGCGGATAAATGCAGATGTTTGCGGATAAAATCAGATGTTTCCGATTAAAATCAGATGTTTGCGGATAAAATCAGATGTTTGCGGATAAAAGCAGATGTTTGGGGATAAAAGCAGATGTTTGCGTATAAAATCAGATGTTTGCGGATAAAAGCAGATGTTTGCCGATAAAAGCAGATGTTTGCGGATAAAATCAGATGTTTGCGGATAAAAGCATATGTTTGCGGATAAAATCAGATGTTTGCGGATAAAATCAGATGTTTGCAGATTAAAATAGATGTTTGCGGATAAAATCAGATGTTTGCGGATAAAAGCAGATGTTTGCGGATAAAATCAGATGTTTGCGTATAAAATCAGATGTTTGCGTATAAAATCAGATGTTTGCGGATAAAAGCAGATGTTTGGAGATTAAAACAGATGTTTGCGGATAAAATCAGATGTTTTCGGATAAAAGCAGATGTTTGCAGATAAAATCAGATGTTTGCGGATAAAGGCAAATGTTTGCGGGGGTGCACTACTGTATGAAATAAGGCGTTCGCAGATAAAAGCATGTTTACGGGTGAAACCGTATGAAAGCAGATGTTCGCAGATAAAATGAGATGTTTGCGGATAAAAGCAAATGTTTGGGGATGAAAGCAGATGTTTGCGGATAAAAGCAGATTTTTGCGGATAAAAGCAGATGTTCGCGGATAAAATGAGATGTTTGCGGATAAAAGAAGATGTTCGCGGATGATTGCAGATGTTCGCGGATAAAAGCAGATGTTCGCGGATGAAAGCAGATGTTTGCGGATAAAAGTAGATGTTTGCGGGTGATTGCAGATGTTCGCGGATAAAAGCAGTTGTTCGCGGGTGACTGCAGATGTTCGCGGATGAAAGCAGATGTTTGCGGATAAAAGCAGATGTTCGCGGATAAAATGAGATGTTTGCGGATAAAAGAAGATGTTCGCGAATAAAATGAGATGTTCCCGGATGAAAGCAGATGTTCGCGGGTGATTGCAGATGTTCGCGGATAAAAGCAGATGTTTGCGGGGGTGCACTAACCGGATGAAATCAGGCGTTCGCAGATAAAAGCATGTTTGTGGGTGAAACCGTATGAAAGCAGATGTTTGCGGATAAAACCAGACGTTTGCGGATGAAAGCAGATGTTCGCGGGTGATTGCAGATATTCGCGGGTGATTGCAGATGTTCGCGGATAAAAGCAGTTGTTCGCGGGTGACTGCAGATGTTCGCGGATGAAAGCAGATGTTCGCGGATAAAAGCAGATGTTGGCGGATAAAATCAGATGTTCGCGGTTTAAAGCAGATGTTCGCAGATGTTCGCGGGTAAAAGCATATGCTCGCGGATAAAACCAGACGTTTGCAGATAAAACCCGACAAAAATAGACGAAAGAAAATGCAGGTAATCGCGGATAAAAACAGACGTAAGCAAACGTTTGCAGATGATTCCGGACAAATTCAGATATAAACGAAACACAGTGAAGACGGTTAAAAACAGATGATTGCAGATGATTGCGGGGGTGCACTAACCGGACATAAAACACAACCAACCGGGTGTTCGCGGATATAGCGATGCGGACAAAAGCAGATGTTATCAGATGATATTTTTACCCGGTTTTATCTGCTTTTATCCGGCTTCGACGAAGAATTTATACCCGCAATCATCTGCTTTTATCCGGTTTTGACGAAGAATTTATATCCGCAATCATCCGTCATTTTCAGCAGGGTAACTATACTGAGATAATTAATTATAGGGTACACAACGCCAAAAAACAGGAAGCAGCAGTTTAAATAAAAAATAATTATTAATGATTTTAAAAATCACCGGCCTACTTTTTTTTCGTAAAAATAGTCTAGCCGTTACCAGAGAACGGTTAGGAAAAAAATCGTATAAATTGGAAAAAATTAATAAAATTAGTAAATGTAGCGATTATTGATATAAGATTACGACAACAGTTACGATTCTCTATCCAATAATGATTATGATTAATAAATTAAGGTAAATACAAAGTGTCCCAAAACTCGCACCACCTTGAATATCATCTACAGGCTCCCAAAAATTCTTTAAAAAAATTCTACCTTCATTATTTAAAAAGATATGAAACATTAAGTTTTAAAACTTAAACATAATAAATGTACCTGGGTTTACCTTGTTTATATTGATTCCAAGTCTTATTACATAGATTAGGCCTAATCTACTTGATGTTTAAGCAATGAGAAAATGCATTTCAGAATTTTTAATTAAACAATATGCATGCCAACAATTGATTATCACAACAATTTATTGGTTAATTGATTGTTATTCATTAACATCAACATAGTTTAATAACCATAAACAATGATTGACAGTTAAACTTTAAAATTAGATACTGTCCTAGCATTTCTGTTAGATATTGATAGTGAGTATTACGATATGTATCTTGTGTTTGAAGAAGGCTTAGAAAATTAAAAAAAAAGTGTCCTTCAGCTTGTTTGTGTGCGTGTCAGTGTAATACAATATTTGTTTAGTTTTTCTTCATATATTTAATATGTTGGTTTATTATTCCCTGATAGGGGCTCCTTGTATTTACTTCTGACCAGTCTGATGTTACTTCTTTAACTTCAAGTAACAAATTTTGTCAATTCATTTTGACACTTTCTAATATTATTGTTTATTGCCATGATGATTAAGAATTCAACTATCACTTAATTATTCGGCAATGTTGCCGTTTAATAAAAAATAACGAAGGTAAAATTTTTTTTAACAATTTTTTGGGATTCCTGGGGGTCTGTAGATCATACATCTTCAGGATGGTGCGCGACTTTTGGGATACCTTGCATATACATAACAAAAACTTAATTATTAATATTAGTAATATTAGTAAATATATAAAATTAAATTAAAACAAAAGGACAAATCACAAAAGTTTTTATAAAAAAATTGTAGATAATTTATTTTATATTTGCATCAAAAAATTATTAATATTAGTAAATATATAAAATTAAATTAAAACAAAAGGACAAATCACAAAACAGTTTTTATAAAAAAATTGTAGATAATTTATTTTATATTTGCATCAAAATTATCAAAAATATTCTTCTTTTATCAGGATATACATTAAATAAAAGAAACGCAAGAAATATTTTATAAAAGTAAACATAATTTTAATATTCCACAACTGTCGATTATTTCTTGTGTTTCTTTTATTTAATGTACATATATCCTAATAAAACAAGAATATTTTTAAAAATTTTGAAGCCAAAATAATTTAAAATAAATTATCTACAACTTTTTTGAAAAAACAGTTTTGTGATTCGTGCGCTTGAAATGTCCCAAAAATAACTAAAAAAAAATCTTAGGTATATTTAAAATTAACATACATTGAATTTTTATTTGAAAAACAAGGCATTTTTAAATTATGCCTTTTTTATTACGTCTTCTTTTCTTTTTTATGGTTTTCTTGGATTATTTGCACTAATTTTTAAATAAAAAAATCGTATTTGATGATTGGCAAAACCATATTATAGTTTGCAGTTGAATCATAATCAATGCATCAATAATTAAAAGCCCCACTGATGACATATATTTTTATTTAAATTAATATTATTAATTATTAATTAATTTTTATTTAAAAAATGGGCCACTACAGATAAATAATATATATACTGTGTCTATTTATATTTAGTCTTTTTACGAATAAAATATAATTTAATATTTCAGTCTCCTAAATTAATTATATATTGTTCAATCACTTTTTAAAAATCTTTGGTATGATGTTCCTTTATTTTTGCTGGTAATTCGTTAAATTTCCTTATTCCCTCATGCATCAGCTGTTTTTGAATAGTTCTTGTTTTTGCTGTGTATTCTTATTTTTTTCCCTATTTCTAGTTTTGTAATTGTGTATTTCTTCCTGTTTTGTTAGGTTTATCTCATTGTCTATAATTTCTCCCTTGTTCAGCTTATGTAATATTTTTAGTATTTCAAGTATATGTAATTCGTTGATTTTCAAGTATTTTGTTTTTTTTTTATATTTCTTTAGTAGCTGTTTCTGTTTGATGTTATGTAGGACTCTCGATTATCTTATTTTGTATTCTTTGTAATTTGTTTATTTTCATTTTGTTAGCCAATCCCCAAAATGGTATCATGTACGTTAAGTTACTTTTCACGTTTGCATTATAGAGCATCTTTTTATGTTTTTGTGTTATATTGTCTTTGACTCTGTATACCATGTTTATTTTTGATGATATTTTCTTTTTTAATTTATTTATGTGTGCTGTCCATGAAAGTTTTTTGTCAAATATTAGCCCTAAGTATTTAATTTCTTCTACTGTTAACGTTGTTTGTTTATTGCGATATTGATGGTATGTTCTTTTGTTCTTTTTTCTATATGTACCTATTAGGTAGCATTTCTTTTTGTTATTTGTCAATTTGTTTGTGTTTGTCCATTTTTGTATTGTTTCTGTCTTCTTCTATTTTATTTTGTACTTCTTGATCTGTTCCCTCATAGAACATAGCTGGTCATCTGCATACATCATAAATTTTCCATTTAATTTGTGTAGTGTTAGGTCATTTATGTAGATGAGATAAAGAAAAGGTCTATGTATTGATCCTTGAGGTACTCCACAAATTACTTTTAGATTTTTACTTTTGTTTCTGTCAGTTGATGTGTGTTGTTTTCTGTTTTGAGGTAATTTGAGAATAACTCGATAATAAGTATGTCTATGTCCATGGTGTCAAAGGCTTTGCAATAGTCTTTTGTGAATATGTTGTAATTAGGGATAGAACGATATCACGTTATTTTGCCGATACGATATATCGGCCGATACCGATATTTACGTGCCGATATACCGATATATCGTATCGGCAAACATAGTGCCATCTATTTATACACGACCGAAGCAAAAATCGGGTCCCGTTTTAATTCCGTTGCGAGGAAACGTTTGTGATTGGTAGTGAGTGACATTTCGGATTTCTGGGAAGCCCCTTATAAAGTGTGTATTAAAACGAATAGATACACTTAAATAAAACAAGTGCCAAACCCCGCCCACTGTGGTAGGGATTGAGAATTTATAGGTTTTATTTTTATCGAATTCGTTTGTTTTGTTTTAATGCATTTCTGCAAATAAAAACTAAGTATTCTTTAAAATCCATTAAATTCCAGTTAATGGCGAAAATGTATTTCTTAAAAACTATACACATTTCCCTACGACAGTATTTCATTTATGCACTGAAGAGTGAAAAGCGCAATTTTTTTTTGCCGATATATCGGCAATTATCTTGCCGATACGATACGATACCGATAATCGGAAACAATTGCCGATATGCCGATATACCGATATCAATATCGGTATCGTTCTATCCCTAGTTGTAATAGATTAACCATTGCTGTTGTCGTACTTTTTTTTATTGAAACCTTTGTTGAGATTGAGATAGTAATGTAATGTTTTTAACATTTGTTGAATCTGATGCATCTGGCAAAAAAATTCAAGTAGGAAAAAATAAACAAGGAAATTCGACTTGAAATAAAAAATCATAAAGGTAAAATATAGCAAAAGTAACATTTTTAAAATTCCCAAAATTTTTGATATAATGTAAATTAAATTATTACCTAAGGGGCTCCAATCAGCAATCATAAAATACCCTCCTTCAGGGATAGTTGGTTTCATTCCCACATCAGACAAAAATTTAGCCATAAAGTCTCGTTTCACCTCCAGTTCTTTAGCTAAAGAAACAAAGAAGCACTCATCTTCTCCCAAACGAGTTAGTTCCTTTTCAAAGGCAATGGCAGTGGCTTCCTATAAAAAGTTTATAATTGTAATTAGTTCGGTGTAATATTTTTTTTTACCTGAATTGGTGTACACCCAGTATAAACAGAATTTTGATGTACCAATTGCATGTTTACAAGTAAATTTTCTGGGCCATAAGCCCACCCTAACTTCCAACCAGTAACACTGAAAGTTTTACCAGCAGATCCAATAGTAATTGTCCTTTCCCACATACCAGGTAATGTTGCTAAAGAAAATTGTTTATAGTATTAAATAAATAAATTAAATTAAATTTACCAATGCGTATATGTGTATTGGGTTTGTAGACCATCCATTCATATACTTCATCGGAAATACATAAAACATTGTGTTTTTTGCATAGGTCTGCAATATGTGTTAATTCTTCCAAAGTAAATACTTTCCCCAGTGGATTGTTAGGAGTATTAAGAATTATAGCTTTGGTTTTGCTATTAAATAACCCTTCAAGCTCATTTTTATCTAATACCCAGTCTGCCGAAGTGGGCAGTCTACCTTCAACTTCTTTCTAGAAACACAAACTTTATTACCCAAATAAATGTATATTGTAAAGTACCCACCAGCCTTAAAGGTATAAATTTAGGAACTCCCCCAGCACTAAGAACAATTGGTTCATAGCAATCAAAAAAGGGTTCAATAATAATAACTTCATCATTATTATCTACATGGCCAATAATAGAAGAAAATAGAGCCTCATATGCTCCTAGGGTGGTCAAAATTTCTGTTTGGGCATTAATTTCCCTACCTATTAGTTTTGAATACAGTTTTGAAAGAGCATTTACTAGCCTTGGGTGACCCTAGAGTTTTAATTAAAAAAATAAAGGAATATTATTTAATACTGAAAGGTCAAGTGTTATCATAAATAAATAAAACTGTTTCTTACAAATCCCCTTGTGTATTGATGTAAAAAATTGTTTTCACTACATGCAACTTCCTTTAAAGCATCTGTTACATAGGATGGAGGAGGATAATCAGGAAACCCTTGACCCAAATTTAATGGTTTATATGCAGCAGCAAGTTTAATGTATTCATTCCTAAAAATACAAATTTTAAAATCATTTTTATTGATTTATTACTAACTTACCAAACACTAGTTTCACTTCCAGCATATCTAGATGGTAAAACGAATTTCTTTTTGATATCGCTCATTCTTGCAGCACTTTCAGATAAGTTTCTACAAAAAGTAAAAGTAAAAGGTTTTACTAGAACCTTAAAGATAAAACCGGTTTTATGTGTATTCATTTAAATTATACTGGCAAAAAAATAAAAATTAATAATAATTTGTAAAGTAATTAACAATGCAAATGAAATGTTTAATTATCCTGATAAGATCTCTTTTAAAAAATATATTCAAAATACGTAATCTAACCTAAAATTTCTAATTTTTATTCTCCTTCTTCTTCTTGTCTGTCAGCAGAATCGGGAAAGTCAAAATACAAGGCAGTGTTACCAACCGAAAATCGGTCTAGGAGGTAGATATAATTTTAAAAGTTGGTAGTTTCCAACAAATCTTACTTTGAAAAGTTAGTAGATCCACAATCCCATGTGTGGATTGTGGAGCACCCTATCATTTATTTTACCATTTTAATACAAAGTTTTCAAATGTAAACAACTTTTTGACAGATCGAAACAGAAAAAAATATATTAAAAAGAGAAAGACTATTAACCACGTTGAATAACTAGCTCAGCGATATAGTTTTATGCTTATTATTATTATTATTATTCTAAGGTTTTATGGTCTGGTATTTGTGACGTCATAGTTAGGATTTTTGAACGCACTCTAAACGCAAAAATGCCTTAACTATTAACCAAGGTTAAGCCTGGTTCATATACATGCGACATGCGAATTTGCGAAATGCGAAAATGTTTTCATTGGTCCATTTGATTTAGCGGGAAAAGTGTTTCGACGTTTCGACAGATTCTGCGAATTCGCAAGATTTGAAATCTGGGGGGCGGGAATCTTGAGATTGATCCAATATTTTGCGAAAATCGCACGAATTTGGCGTGATGCGCATGCGCATTAATGCAGATGCCTATTATACGTATTTGTTATATGTACCCGCGCCATTTTTGTTTATGTTCTGTGTTTATTTCATTTGTATTGCATCGTTGTTGAGTTTTATTTGAAATGTTTCTTGCTAAAGTTGTTTTTTGTTCTTTATAATGGACAAAGAGTTTTTGGAGGTACATTAGTTTCTTATTTTTGGGAGCAGCTCGTGACACCCAAACACGAGAGATCTAAACTCGATGGGTCTAAAATTTAAAAGCGCGGTGGGTCTAAAATGTGTGGCAACGTCGCACTTCAAATAAGGTTTGGTTCACATTTTTCTTAAATGAAATGTAAATTTTCGGTCGGTTTAGACCTCACGAGTTGCTCCCCTCTGATCAGGGTTGGGTATCTATCTACCTACATTTTTGTTTTCGACATGTATAAAACCGTTTTCGACGTTTTCGACGGTAGAAAACGTAAAAAAGTAGAATACTGTCAAATATCAAAAAATGTGAGGTTATGCAAGTTTGTTGTTTATTATGATTTGTTAAATGTTGTGAAAAATCAGACACCTACCATAAATTTGAAGTTATTTGGAGTTTTTTAACATTATTATGGTGGGAAAAAAAGGGCCACGTTTGGTTGGGAGACCCCAACATAATTTTTGGCATGAGGGCAAATTTTTATCAATTATAGAGAAGTGGAAGGAGAAGATCGAATAAGGTAATTAACGTAGGTAGAAAACCCTATAGGTTTTCGACGCAAGTCGAAAACAAGTTTTCTACCCTTTTCTACCAAGGTAAATTACCTAAGGTTTTCTACTGACCCAACCCTGCCTCTGATCAGGGTTGGGTATCTACCTACATTTTTGTTTTCGACATGTAGAAAACCTTTTTCGACGTTTTCGACGGTAGAAAACGTAAAAAAGTAGAATACTGTCAAATATCAAAAAATGTGAGGTTATGCAAGTTTGTTGTTTATTATGATTTGTTAAATGTTGTGAAAAATCAGACACCTACCATAAATTTGAAGTTATTTGGAGTTTTTTAACATTATTATGGTGGGAAAAAAAGGGCCACGTTTGGTTGGGAGACCCCAACATAATTTTTGGCATGAGGGCAAATTTTTATCAATTATAGAGAAGTGGAAGGAGAAGATCGAATAAGGTAATTAACGTAGGTAGAAAACCCTATAGGTTTTCGACGCAAGTCGAAAACAAGTTTTCTACCCTTTTCTACCAAGGTAAATTACCTAAGGTTTTCTACTGACCCAACCCTGCCTCTGATATACCCATAACCAACAAAATTTACAAAGTTACTGGTGCCATCATAAAGGTACATTGATAATATCAATTTGATATTGTTATTTATATACCAAAAAGCTTTATAACAATAACAAATGATCATCAAGTGATGTTGTATTCTTATTCTATGGTTGACTTCTAAGGAGTGATTTTGACAGTTTAAAAATATATTTAGAGATGAAAGCAGTAACAGTTGGTCAGTTTAGGATTGGTTTGTGACATGGCCATGAAATGGTTCTTCAGGGCAACACTAATACATGTCAGCGTCGTCAACCCGTCCTTTTGAAACATTCTAAATTTAGAAATAATATAATTAATATATTAGATGACCTTTTTAAAATTAATTTGACGAGTAAGCATTTAATATGTATTTTAAATATGTGGATACCTAACTAATATTGTATGTTTTCAGTACTTCCAGAGGATGCCGAAAGTCAAAACTGGTTGAGATAATTAATAAATAAAAATATCCATGTGGCCAAAAGCAAAAAATTCACGTGGCCTAATTGTTGGAACCAGTATATCATCAGTTTATCCCACCTATAGTGAGTGAGAGAAAGGGGAGAAACATACAAGAAGGATAGTAAAGTATAGTATGTGACACAGGTGTGAAACAGAATCGGCAAAACTGGAAACATGACCCCTAATGGATAGTTGTGTGCCATTGGGTCCTGTTTGGCTTTAAGAACTTTTTAAGGAGCCTTATTGATATATGTAAAATAGTTTTAAAATGTAAGTATTATGTTTTAAATTCAAAACTTGTTGGCTTTTTAGCAAACCTTGGTTTTTCATTACTTAGGTTGAGTTGGTTCATAAAAAAGAATAATTTGGTTATTAGGCCTTCCCAGCCAACAAAGTCAAGGTAGTGCTACTAGTAGCAGAGGGTAGCGCTACCCTCTGCTACTAGTAGCACTACCTTGACTTTGTTGGCTGGGTTGTGACAATACAAATTAAGCAAAAAAAATGCAAAATGCACACTAGTTATAAACTTGTTAGTGTTCTAAAATATATTTGTAAAAACTTATAATTTATATTTCAAATGTTAAATCTTATAAATTTGTTAGCCTAAACATTAGTTTGTAACCAAGGTTTACTATAATTATTATAGTCAATAATTCTCTTTTGGATGCATTTTGCTACATAATAGCCCCATAAAATTTTTTGAAAAACGTGTTTTTAAATATATTTAGATACCTATGTAAAAGAGAAAAATTCAACCAAAAAGAATGCAACCTCGAATGTAAATGGTCCAGACCATTTAAAAAAATTAATCTTTTTTAATGTTTAAGGTTACTTCTTTTAAAAGCTAGAATTTTTTAAATTTAAATTTCATCAGTGTTAATGTCTGTTATATTATTGTTTTACTAAAAATTGCCCAATATATTTTTGCTTTAAATTTTATGTTTGTTAATTAAATTATTTTTAAAAGGAGTTGGAAAATGGAAGCCATGGGACACCAACCTGAGAGCATAAACCTTAATTACACAAATGCAACACAACCTACAAGTTTGAATCTATTGTACACCAACTGGAGGACATAAACCCTACTTACGTGAAATTCAATGCAAGAAAGAAGACATTCTTGCAAGATGCAGTTCTACTGCACTAGTTGCATATTTTATCCAATACTATAAACTATAATGAATCTTTGCCATTGAATACACTAAATTCAATAGTGATACTTTCACATGTAACATTTTTGTACTGCATTTTGTAATATCTTAAAGTCAAATGATACCTATGCATATTCTTATTTTTGTAAAGAAATATTAATGTCATATTAAAAAAAATACCAAACAGTTAGGTAGGTATAGGTACTTTATTATTAGTTTATTTTTGTAAAAGTAACTTTTTATTATTAAATTTGTAAGGTTTAAACCTACAATTGTATTTTTACTCTTCAAGGAAACGACCTTTAATAATTGTTTATTGATTTATTTTCAGTTTAAAATCGTTATAAAATCCGTAGTATCCAAATAATTTTTAAATAAACAAATCATGCGTCATTTTTGTTATGATTCATATGTCACGTCACGTGTTGACTTCTCAGAAGTTCTGTCAAAATATTTTGCTTTTTGTTTGTAATGGTGGAGTTGTGTTTTTCTTCTAATCTGCGGTTTCAAAAAATGACTTATTTTAGAAAGATGGTCACTTTAACATATGTATACCCAGTTTTTAAGTTTTACACACATTGCAAACAAAGGGATTATTTATAATTTATTATCTATGATTATTATTCATTATCTATGATTACTTCGTTGCAAAACCGGAGATTTATTCGATTGCCATTTTCATAAAATAAATACAAAATACAAAATGTTATACCATTGAGTTACTCAATGGTTATACCCTAAGACCCTGTCTTAGGTTATACCTTAATCGGTCTTCAATCTTAGAATTTGAATTTAAATTAATGATTTCTGTACCAACTTTAATAGATATGGTATAGATGGCTCCACAATAATTTAAAAACATATACTTACCACACGGTGGTAAGTATATGTTTAAAAATATACGTGTACGACTGGTCATATAATGTCTATAAAGTAAAACATTTTTACTAAAAATGTATTAAAAAAACATCAAGCGGAGAGTACAAAAATGGGACCAAAAGGTCCTAAAGGGTTAAATAAAATATTTACAGACTCTGTAATACAGAGTATACCTGTGTAAAATGAAAAAGTATATAGGGTTGTTGGTACACTGAGAAAAAAATGGGACAAATAAGCTGTGTAGCTAATACTTTTATTAATAGTGAATATATTGTTTATTACCTCTAAATAGTCGAATAATAACGATAAATATACTTTAGTAAAACTTTATGTGTCGGGAATAAAAATATATTTAGGATAAATAAACTGCAGGGTACATGTACCTACCCTTGTCCCATATTTAAATATTTTTTTATTTGATAGCAATAAACTTTTTTCTCAGTGTATTGTCCCAAGGAAAACCAACCTTAAGGTTTAAAGTTTTCATTTTAACCCTGAATTTCGGGACTACAATGTAAACTTTAAAACTATATATGACCCAACCCAACACATGTGTTTTAA